TTAGGGTAAGGGGGACCATATGTGTGCAGATACAGTATCCAAATGAGTAACCATTTGCTATCCTCGCCGGATACGCAAATAGGGTTTAAATGGGTACCAGACTATTCGACCTAAAGATACATCCTCATTAAGCCTATTAAATAATAGATTCTAGTTAAATCCGTTGAACTTAAATCCTGCCAGATAACTAAAAATTGAAATTATATGTTCTACTACTATATAGGATACACTATCTCGTTTCTTAACCCTTAAACTAAACAGAATGAAGTATTCTAATAAATTGAGACTTAACTAGATTCCCTGCTTATAAAAACTACATAAAACTAAATAAATGAAATAACAGTTTATAAAAATTGAATTGTGACCCCTGATTACCATTATGATTATTTTTTTAATGATAAACATCTTGTCATAGCTAATAGCTTTTTTTCTAAATATTTCTTTACTTTTGTCAGTGAGACAGAAATCAGTAAACTTGTTGAATTGATTGCTGCCTTGTTCTTTAAAGTTCTTGATGCTTTATTTTTAACTTCATTATAATTTAGTCAACCAGTTTATCTGACTTATTTAAAATTGATATCTCATCCAGCTCTATTGCTCACCCAATTCAATATACTGAAATAACACGAATAAGATTGAGGTAGTTAACTGTAGAAATCTCCATTGTAATTTACATGAGTATATTAAGCAGATTAATTGGCTGTACAATATAAGCAATGTCTGTCCTACTCAATTTTAATGTTAGTGTCTTAATACTTTTAAATGAAGTAATAAAAATCAACATATACAAAACTGGCCGGATTATGTAAGCTCATAAGACTGCTAAATACGCATTCTGTCTATGACAAGCTTTACAAAAATCTTTAATCTCTTTGAAAATGCTTTTATTTAATGCTTTAAAAAGAGCTTCATATAAATATGCCATTTGTCACTTTAAAAAAAACAAGAAGATATTAAAAATGAAGAAAAGCTGGCAAACAGTTTAGCAAAGGAGAACTATACTAGTTTATGGTATACCCTATTGACTATGCCTCAGGTCCTCCTAACGTATGTTACACATAGCATAACAACATGGTAACATGTTCTTACCATGCAACATATTTGTATCCTACCCTATATAGGATACAAATATCTCCTAGTTTTTTCAGGCAAAGGCTAGGAGAAGCCAACTCTGACATAAAAAAACACTTGTGGGGCTCTTGGTTGAGTAAAAGCTAGAGATAAAAGTGTCTCAATAAAAAACTCACCTTAAGCAGACATTTAATGCATCCAGCTACTGTCTAGTAGAAAACCTCCTAGGCAAAGACAAAGAGGTAACATATTCTATGTTGACCAGCTTTGCACTCGTCTTCATCTATTAGGCTGGCGTAGATGAATTTGCAATACATTGTTTCCAATTTAGGACATTGAATGCTGGAACCTCATGACTCAATGCATGGGTTTATGATTTTAGTCAGTGCTAGGATCTTACTTCTGCTACAGCATGAGGCTCTCAATGGCTGGTGAACTTTAACTCAGATAAGACTCAATAGTTTTTAGCTAATCATTATCACAATAATCGAGATCTTCTTATATTTATGAACAGTAATATATTTGATAAATCATCTACACTTTTGCTTCTAGAATTAACTCTTACTTCTGAACATTCTCAAAAACCATATATCAAATCCATTTCAAAATAAATTAGCATGCATCTTCTTATTGTCCTTGCCACCTTCTTACTTCTGAATTTGTTTGTACTTTTATGGAATAGTTGCCATATCTAAGATGGATCTTCCAATGATACCCTTTCTCTTTTAGACAAGATACAAAAGCGTAAACGTAGTTGGACCTGTTCTTGCAGCCAAACTTCAATCATTGCCACATCCTCTTAATTTTGCTTCTCTTTCTCTTTTCTACAAATACTATGATAAGCGCTAGTGTCTCTTGTCCCATATACTAAAATTCATTCTCATGCTATGCATCATTCAATAAAGTCTTATTCCTTTACTGTGACTGTTCTTAAGTTTACTAAGTTTACTAAGTTACCCTAAATTTACTAAAGAGAAAGAGGTTGATTGCAAATTGAACTTTATTGATATAATTATTAACTCTGTAAATTATAAATTTAATACTTCAATATTTTACAAAAAAAAATACACAGTTTTACAAACAAATTTTAAAAGTTTCACTAATACTAATTATGAACTAGGGCTCATTAAAATTTTGATCAAAAGGGCCTTCAAAAAACAGCAAGTTTTCATCTAGATATTGTAAAAATTAAACAAACTCTCCAATAAAACTCTTCTCTCTTCAACTTAATTGACAAAACCTTCAAAAGTTTACTAAACAATCTTATCTCTCCTAAAGAAAACATGTCATCTAAAAAACCATCTGATATACATTACTTTAAACTCCCTTATATTGGAAAATTTTCAAATACATTTTATCACCAATTAATTAAATACATTTAAAATATTGTAAAGATAATATAAAAGCAAGACTAGTTTTTACAACTTTTAAAATAAGTAGTATGCTTTCATCAAAAGACCCCTTACCCCTAAATTTAAACTCCTTTGTTGTCTATAAATTTCTTTGTTCCAGCTGTAATGCTGAATACATTGGTGAAACTACCAGACAGTAGTTATTTATCTTATAAAATGTAATTATGGTAACTATTGTAAAACTATTAAATTTTTAATGCATCCAAATAAATTGTTTTTATATAGAAATTGTAATTTTTTTACCCTGATGATATCAATTGATATTGATAAAAGATGTTGTTAAATTTTTTTTTTAATAGTTATTCATTTGAAATATATATATATATATATATATATATATATATATATATATATATATATATATATATATATATATATATATATATATATATATATATATATATATATATATATATATATATATATATATATATACTCTTGCATGGTAGTTAAAAAGAGTTTCCCATAAACTGTAGTTTTAAAGAGCGCGTTAATAAACCAGACCAGAAAAAGTTTAAAAAATTAAATTTTTTTTTTTTTTTTTAAATGATAGACTGCCTGCCCAAACCAAACCCTCAGTCGATGTAGCAGCACTCCCTTGCGAGTCAGGCTATTTGTCAGTCGATGTAGCAGCACTCCGTTGTGAGTCAGGCTATAAGATAGTCGATGTAGCAACATTTACGCATGTTTTAAAAATGTTTTTTAACAAAACAAAAACAAAAACACTACTAATTAAAAAAAACTTTCTAGTCGTTATTATTGCGGTTTTTTAAAATTTTTTTAAAAAACAATAAAATTTAATGTACTTCCGCATTAATTTAATTGCTTTGACATTTTGACGACAATTAAATACAGCTTAAGAGACAAGGTAATTAAAATTGTAGTTGAAAGAGACTTTTTTTACATTAAAAGACTCTTTCGACTACACTATAAGGATATATATATATATATATATATATATATATATATATATATATATATATATATATATATATATATATATATATATATATATATATATATATATATATAGTGCTTTTTTTTTTTAAAAAAAATTGCCAGAACTCACATGTATTTTCCTTTATATTTCAAAAATAAGGCAGAAATCAGTAATTTAAGGTGGGAACAAATATAAGAAACCGTTTTTCAACAAATGAAGCTTTTTTTTAAATAATGACAGTTTTTTTTTTGGGTAGGGAGTGAGTAGAGTGAGGGGTCATGTCACTGTATATAAAATACAAACTTTACAAAACTATAAACTTCTATAACAAATCCCATAGTTTTTTCAAATTTTCGTTGTACATATCCTCTCATCTCCTTTCCTTGCTCTTAGTGTCTAATGCTGAATGCCTTCCGCTAAGTAACCATGAATCAACGTACTTTGAAGGATCAAAGCTTGTTAGCGGTGGTCCCACTAATTTAATGAATAACAACATTGAAACTGTTTTTGTCATTAACAAAGCCCTTGTTTGTGTGATGATCAGACTCATCTGTGAAAACCCTCGTTTGCATATACTTGAGGAAATTGGGATAGTACGTAGAGCGTGTGCTAAATAAACTAAATTTTCAGGATATATTTGTTCTGCAAGGTATTCACAAAATCTACGAATCATTTCTCTTTTATTTAACTGTAGTCTTAATGACAGGTTTCTGATTTCAGTTTCTCCAAATGTCACCTGAGTGTTTATGTTTTCAGGCCAATGATTTTGGACTAAGATGCGAGCCCATTGGGCTAAATTAACATCTTTATCAGCAAGCAACATTTTCTCAATTGACTCTTTTAGTTTCATGTAAAAAGGCGTTTGAATCAATAGCTGAATCATTTTTGAAATTTTTATTGTGAACGGAAACTCCGTAAAAACGGATATTCAAATTTGCTTTAGTTTCATCACTTTAGTGATGAAACTAAAGCAAATTTGTAATAGGGGCCACCACTATTTCTTCTTTCTTCGAATACTTGAACAAGAGCATTAACTTTTTGAATATATATATATATATATATATATATATATATATATATATATATATATATATATATATATATATATATATATATATATATATATATATATATATATATTTATATATATATATATATATATATATATATATATATATATATATATATATATATATATATATATATATATATATATATATATATATATATATATATATATATATATATATATATAACAATAGTTATATATATACAATATATATATAACTATTGTTATTATATTATTAAGAATTATGTATATGAAAGAAACACTAACCTTAAAGAACTATTACATCCATGAATTAATAGAGTAACCCACTGTAAAAGCAATGAAGTTAACAAAATAAAGACCACGTAATAAAGTAATTTTACTAACAAATAATAATATATCTATCAAACAAGGTGTTGTTGTTATTAATATTTCTGCGTAAATTTTTTTAAATGTTGTTCGGCAAAATACGCAAATAAAAATAATCGTTCCGAATGGGATATGATCTAAACACAACCAATATTAAATACTAAGGATTATTATTAAAGCAAACAAAAACAAAGATTATGGATTTATCTATGTATGGCGAAAATTTGAATTTCAGCAGTTCTGATGAAATAAGCTCTGATGAAGAAAGCGGAAATATAAAAGGTAATATATAAACTTAATATATAAACATTTTCAGTTTAATAAATGCAAAACCTATTACATTTTTTTTTGTTTATAACAATGTTATAAACAAAATAAATGCAATAAATAATTATATAGTTATTGACATATTTTTTAATTTAGAAGTCTATGAACAAAGTTTGAGTATCATTGAAAATAATTGTTTACCTACACGTGATATTGTTTATGGTATGTTTTTAGTCACTGTTACCGTACAAAAACTGACAGTTTTTTTCTTATTTCTTCTATAGGAAAAAAAAAGAAAAAATGGTTTCAGTAGCATATATATGTTATTTAAATGGACAACACAAGAACAATCAAAACAAAAAAATTGTCGTCATATAGAATTTTTTTTTTGCAATTGTTTGTGATTTAAAATTATTATCTAAAGTTTAAAATTAGTTAGTTTTTTGTAAGATAAACTAAGTTTTTGTAGCAGTTAACAGTTAAATTGACAGTGCATTAAGTGCTAGGTCTAGTACTTTAATATAGGCTTTTTTTTATGCCTAAAAAGTTCTTTACTTATTTTTTATTTAAAGTTCTTTATTTAAAGTTCTTGAACGCATTTATTAAACTTTTTTCTAATGATATCACAAAACTTTATACAAAGGTTTGTGATATCATTTAGTGTGCCTTTTTTTTGTTGTTGTAAGAAATATTCAAAATAGTTTTTATAGTCTATTTTCATATTCACTGAAAGTATACTAATCAATTTGATTTTAATTTTTATAGAAGGAAAAAAAAATTAATTTATCATTGTAATTCGCATGAAGAAGCATTAAACTGTGTGAAAAAATATGAGTTAGCAACTACAACAAGATTTGTTGTCTATAGTGTAACCAAGGACTTTGGAATAACAGGTAAACTATAGTTTGTAGTGACCTAGTTTTGAAAAAAAATCATTTTGCATTACACAAATATTTGCAATGTAAAAGCAATGATTTCGTGACATGTTTTTTTGATTAACATAAAATTACTTGGCTTAAATATGAAAATAGTTTCTTTAAATGCAAGATTAACTTTATCATAACTAAAAATATTAAAAATGAATATCATTCTCATTTCGTCATTTGTTTTTAATTTATTTAATGTTTCTAGAAATACTTAGAGTTCATAAAATTTTTAATGGTTTTTATGAACTAAATTGCGCTGAATAAATATATGCCAAAGTTAGCATTATATATCTATAATACAGAATAAAATGTTTTATTATATATATATATATATATATATATATATATATATATATATATATATATATATATATATATATATATATATATATATATATGTTTTGTTTTTTTAAGGTTGTAATAATATACTTATATATAATTATAATGTTGTTAATATATATAAGTAATAATATACTTATATATAATAATAAGGTTTTAATAATATCTTATAATTAATATATATATATATATATATATATATATATATATATATATATATATATATATATATATATATATATATATATATATATATATATATATATATATATATATATATATATTAGGGTGGTCCTTAAAACAACTTTTTTGAGAAAAACCTGCTGGTACCCCCTAAATGTGTTTTATCTAATACAAAAACACTAGGTTTAAAATTTTTTTGAACAAAAATTATTTTTAGGGGTAGCTCAAGGCCCTCAAAAATTTGACGGGTCCCTAATATTTTGAAAAAAAAACTTTTTCTAAAGTATGTCAACCTGGTACTCAAAAGAAGCGATATTATATAAAAACTTCAAAAATAATAATCATTTTACATAAAAAACATGCCTAAAAAAAATTATTCTCAAAAAACCTGAAAATATTGACTTTTTTTATTTTCAGCTTAAAAACAATAGTTTTTATGCATTTATACCTGAAAAAATTATTTTTATAAAAAATTATTTTCATTTTTAAATTTTTTATATAATTTTGCTTATTTTGAGTACCAGGTTGACATACTTTAGAAAAAGTTTTTTTTTCAAAATATTAGGGACCCGTCAAATTTTTGAGGGCCTTGAGCTACCCCTAAAAATATTTTTTGTTCAAAAAAATTTTAAACCTAGTGTTTTTGTATTTGATAAAACACATTTAGGGGGTACCAGCAGGTTTTTCTCAAAAAAGTTGTTTTAAGCACCACCCTAATATATATATATATATATATATATATATATATATATATATATATATATATATATATATATATATATATATATATATATATATATAATACACTTTTTTATAATAAATTTGTTTGTGTTGCTTTTATATAATTTTTTAATAAGTTTAGTCACATTCCAAAAACTATATATTTTTTTATAGAAATGATTGCAAAAAATCATAATGTTCTATGGGAAGATTATGCCATTCAGTATTCAGGCATACCTCATATGGTTGTTGGTCACAAAATTTTAGATTGTCATCATGGTTTTGATAGGAATATTTCAGCGAAAAATAGTTATAAAAAAAATGCTAAGGTAATGTTATCACTTTTATCTTTCATACTCAATTAAATTTTTTTTTCTTGTTTCTCTAATACCATAGAGTTTAAAAAAAAAAAAAAAAAAACATCACTATTTTAAACAAATAAACAACATTCCAAAAGTGGTGCCCATTAAATAAAAGTCTTCTTTTATCATTTGTTTCTTTTAGATGGATGATCACAGCTTTCAGAAAAATTATGTGATTCTGCAAGATACAAAAAAGTTTATGTGTCCTGCAAAGATAGTTATGAGAGAAATATTACAATTTCCTGATTTCAAGGTTTGAGTAACTAAATTATAGGTAACATGCCTTTTTTAATTTTGTAATGTATGGTGGTGTGACATAAAGCAGCCCTGAATTGGGTTTAAGGGTCCCCTAAGGTTAGTGGAAAGATGTATCTTTTTAAAAATATGCCTTTATTGAAACAGGATTAAGTTTTAGGTGTCTCACTCAACTTTCTTGACTAAGTCCCTCTATAAACCCAGTTTAGTCCTTATTGTTTTTGTATTATTGTTTTAATTTAGATACCTAAGCATTCAGCTTGGCACAAAAAAAAAGCATCAAAACTATTGAAAGAAAAATTAAAATTGTTATGTTTAAATGAAGTACCTTATATTCGGAAAGTTGTTGTAGCTATTGATGATTTATCATGTCATGATAAACACCCTATTGGAAAGGTAAAAATAAAATTTTTGTATATACTTTGTACTTGCAAAAAGGTTTAAAACAGTACTGTAGTTTATTAATTAATTTACCATATTAAATATTTTTTTAAATTAGGTAGAACTAATTTCTTAAATAATCGATCCTCATATTTCAAAAAAGATTGAAGAATATGTTATAGAAGGAATATACAATATAAGGGAAATGAAGCACCTTCTTCGTTTGACAGTAAAAGATACTTTTGGAAATGAAAATCTTCCTCCTTCGAATAGCAGAAGATTCTATCCCAACACTGCAACCATAAGATCACATATAGTAAAAATTAAAAAAAAGTTACGGTAAATCACAAATGTTGATTATTTCTTAGAATAAATTATACATATGAAATGATTTGTTTTACTAATTTAGACGTTAACTTGATTCATGTTTAAAGTAATCTTTAAAACTTTCATTTTATTAATGTTGTTGTTTCTATTTATAAAGGCATTCCATGATTGACCAAGAATGTCTTTTGATAAAATGTGAAGAATGGAAAAAATGTGGTCCGTCTGTCAAAGTGTTTCTTAGACCAAACTGTAGTGGCGAAGATGGTGGTGATAAATGTTCATTTTTATTTGTTTATCAGTCACAGTGGCAACAACACCTTCTCATGCGCTATGGAACTGAGATACTGCTACTTGATGCCACATACAGGACTACCAGATATTCTCTTCCTCTCTTCTTTTTAACTGTAAAAACTAATTTTGACTACCAAATAGTAGCCAGTTTTGTTATTGAATGTGAAACAAAACAAGCCATCACAGAAGCGCTTCACATAATAAAAGATTGGAACCCATCCTTTCAACCTTCCTTTTGCATGACTGATTATTGTACTGAAGAAATGGATTCATTAGAAGCTGTTTTTCCAGGTATAAATAAAGTTTTTAATAGTTTTCATTTGTTAATAAATAGTATGACAGTTTAAATATACATTTGAAAGTAAATAATGTAATAAATAAAATAAATAATGTAAACCATTTAATAGAATATTTTGAACCGTTTCCTGTTGTCATTTTTTAGTTCACTTGAAACTCTTTTTTTTTTCGTTGTGTAACTCATCTGTATTCGTTTTATCTTATTTTAAAATATAGAGAATTATTTTTAGGTTGCCGTGTTCTTATATGTGATTTCCATAGAGAGCAGGCATGGCATCGCTGGATTGTCAAAAAAACAAACAACTGCTCAGAATTTAAAGACTCAATAATTTCAATGCTACGAAATATTGCATGGGCACAAAATGAAAAGATGGCAGATGAAGCAATAGTTAAGCTAAAATGTTCTAATTTTTGGTTGGACAACAAATTTCATAAATTTAAGAAATATATTACTAATTATTGGTTACAAATTAAAGAAGTGAGTATATATTTAACATTATAATTATTATCCCAAATTTAACATTATTTAACATTTTTTGCTGTACATAACACAAGTATTGCAAATTTTAAAGCATTAATTTATGGTTAAAACAAGTTTAATTTATACTCATGTCAATGTAAATCTGCAAAAACAAGTGTTATTATTTTTATCTAGAAATGGATATGGGGGTATCGTCAGGATAGATTTTTAGTAAACCTTAATACCAACAATGGAATTGAAAGGCAACACGAATCTTTTAAATATTCGTATCTTCAAAGACATAAAAATTCATCAATTACTGGAATGCTTACTCTTTTAATAGAAGAGTTTTTTGCAGATAAATTTGAGAAGTATATTAAAAAGTTTTATTGTAGCCTGATTTGAAGGAGTTTATATTAATTTTTTTTTTTTTTTGTGTGTTTTTATATATAAATATATTTATATGTATATATATATATATATATATATATATATATATATATATATATATATATATATATATATATATATATATATATATATATATATATATATATATATATATATATATATATTAGTTAATTTATTTTTTTCTTATTTTTTAAGATATTCAGAATCTAATTACAAAATGGATTGTCGATTTAAACAATACAATTCTAATGTACCTGAATACTTGATAAATAGGCTACACCATTTTATTAAACATTGTTTAGCGAAGCAAAATTTGGCTAACAACACTGATCTAAATAAAGTGCAAATGAAAGATCCTGGAGTATTTGTAGTCAATAGCTTTTCTATTGCAAACAAAAATTACCTTGTTAACTTTGGCGATGAGAAGAACATGCCAAAATGTTCATGTAATGATTGGTTTAAATCTTCCTATCTATGCAAACACTTTTTTATAATTTTTAGAAAGTACCCACTAACATGGGGATGGGAGTCTATATCGTCTTTATATAGAAGTTCTCCATTTTTAAATATTGACACATTCACTAATGATTTTGTATTAAGTAAATCAAATATAATCAAGTGTAACCATGTGAATCATAATAGTTTCAACTTAATTAATGACACTATTTGCAGTACAACAACGATAAATCCATACAAAGATAGTACAAGAAAAAGAAGTTCTACAGCCTCTGAAGTCCGTGAAATGCTAGCAACCATAAAAAATTTAACATTTGATTTTGATGAATCATCAGAAGAACTATCTGATCTACATGAAACACTTTCAAATGTACTTAAAAAGCTTTATCAAGCAAGAAAAAAAGAGAAAGGTCTACCATTAAGCTCAGGTTATGGTATGCATGATTATGTACACAAAAAACAAAAAAATATAGTTGATTTACCTGTTGTTAAAAAAAAATTGTATTCCAATCGTGTGGGTGAAAAAAAAGAAAAGTTGATGGTAGCCTCTATAATAAAAATTGAAAGTAATTTTTATGAAGCACCAGTGCAGGAATCAATTATTACTGAGGATCAAATAACTGGTGAAGAAACTTTTCAAACAAATTCTTTTACAAATAATTATTTAGGAAAATCAGTTTTATTTGAAAGAAATTATTCTTTACTTTCACAAGAAGATTTTGAAGACATTTCGAAAAATCGAATGTTATCTGATACAGTTATTAAATGTTTTCAAGATATGTTAAAGAAAGCTAACCCTTATGCAAATGGACTTCAAGATCCCATATTGGGACAGTTATTAAAGTTTGATGTTATTGGTTCTTTACCATTTGTACAAATTATATATAATGGGGATTACCATTGGCTTGCCATCAGTACATATGGTTGTTCATATGGTGAAATAAATGTGCTTGATAGTAACTTTCATGGGTGTTTAAGCCTTGAAACACAAAAACAAATATGTGCCCTTTTAAAGTACAAAAAAGATGAGATTACAGTAAAAGTGCTTTCAGTACAGCAACAAGATGGTGGTATTGATTGTGGTTTGTTTTCAATAGCCTTTATTGAATTTATTTTATCACAAAACAGGTATCCTATAGAAGATATTTGGTTTGATCAAACAAAGTTAAGAAATCATGCCCTTTCCTGTTTAATAAATAATTTAATAACTCCTTTTCCACTTACAAATAGTGCGAGCCGTAGATGCTCTCCAAAGGAATTTAAATTAAAACTGTACTGTTCTTGCAGGATGATTTGGATTCCATCAGATAGAACAATATGTGGAAGGTTTTGTATTGCATGTTTTATGTTTGTTATGGAGTGTACATATAATGCCTGGCTAGTAAGTGACCGGGTCCCTGGCCCCGGCTAAAAACAGAGGTTTTTGCAAACCCGGCCCCGGCTAAACAAACAAAATTTGCAGGGGTTACTAGCCGGGGCTAACAAAAAAAAATCAACTATTTTTTAGTATTTATTAATTTCTTTACATTTAAATACTTGAATAGCTCAACTATGTAATTCTAATAATTAAAATTACAATTAAAAAGTTACTTACATTTTAAATGTAAATGCAATTTTACAATAAATTTATCTTATGAAATTTATTTTAGGATATTTTTGCCCCGGTCACATATTAACCCCGTTCGCTTACTATGCCTGGCTGCTTTGGTTGTAGCTGTGGCTTTGTTTAATTTAATTAACTCAGAGGTGTACACTGGTTTTTTAGATGTTTAAGTTTTGGCACTTATAGACATTGCAAACTTTAACTTTTGTATGTTCACGCTTATGTCAAATAAGAATGTTTTGCAAAGAATTGTGGTGATTGGAGTTTGGGAACAAAAAACCTTTAATGGGCCTACCCAGCCAATGTGGGAACAATGAGTTAGTAAAATATTTTCTTTACTATTTTTATCTAAATTTATATCCATTAACAAATTTCAAATTTCATGCAATAACATCTTTTTATGACCCTGCAAAGTTTACAGCCCCGACAAATTATGGGCGGTTAAAACTTTATATAGTTATAATTTTAGAAAAATTAGAGATTATTGCATGATGAAATTAAAATAGTAGTGAAAATATTTTATAAACTCATTGCTCTCACGTTAAGGACTGGGTAGGCCCCAAAAATTAAATTTTTTTTGTTTCCAAGCTCCAATCAACGCAATCCTTTGCAAAACATTCTCATTTGACATAGGCATGAATATGAAAAAGTTTGTAGTTTGCACAATGCCTGTAAGTGTCAAAGCTCATACATCTAAAAATCCAGTAAAAATCTGTAACTATATATATATATGTGTGTGTGTGTGTGTGTGTGCGTGTGTGTTTGTGTGTGTATTAAGGCCCTGTGAATCTGCATTTTTAGTTTCGAATCAATCAGGTCTTGATTTACGAATCAAATTGAGTTATGAATCAAATCAGTAATATGAGGAAATCCAAATTTAACCATCTTTTTTCACACAAAAAAAATCTGCTTAAAAATTTTTTATTTTTTGCACAGAATAATTTTTAAGGGTTATTTGTAAGCATACTGCTTTCAAATAACCCTTACAAATTATTCTGATATTATTCTGACTTCAAATAACAATTACTTTCAATTACAATTACTTTACTCTGGGTGAGATACATAAAAACATTTTGATAGCATTTAAAGAGTTTGATATCTGAAAAAAAAATAACATCCACAAAATAAATAGTGATTCAAAAAACCTGAATATTTTTTTTTCGAATCTAAGCAACTCTTGATTTGCGAATTGATTCGCAGGGCCCTAATATATATATATATATATATATATATATATATATATATATATATATATATATATATATATATATATATATATATATATCAGAAATATTGAGTGCTGTCGGGAATAAGAGAGACAGGCATTAGTATACTAGTTAGGATAAAAAAAGATTATACACAAAAAATGAAAACTTATTTAAAAGGCTCATTCTTATTTGTAGGCAAATGGCTCAATGTTATACTTGTAACCATTGGTTTCATAAGGAATGCGAAAAAATCAACAATATTTCTTTTGAAAACAAAGATAAATTTTGGAAATGTCAAGATTGCTACAACTTGGTAAGAAACTAATGATTGTTATATAAATTATTAATAGCTGCTGATTAATTATTAATAACTAATGCAACTAGCCTTTTATATATGTAAACAAAGATCAAAATGAAAGGTTAGTGTACCTGGCCACAAAAATTTTACAATTTGTCAAAAACTTGAAAACCTCAATTTTTTATTCCTTCTAAATATTTTCCCGAACAGAAGTGACTGTTTTTTTTTGTGTTACAGTAACTACTTGATACAGATAATGCTTTTGTAGTCACAGTCATTACAAAATCTAAAGTTGTCTGTTATGCAATAAACAATGCTATTATTTATTATATATGTGTTTCCTTTTTGTTCTAATTATTAGAACAAACATATAAATAATAAATAATATAAAAAATAAGTATGTATATTGAAGTTAAGTAATAATTAGAACAAATCCATATACTATAACATATACTAATTAACTAGTATTTGAATTTGTTATATTTATTACTTGACTTCAATTTACATACTTATTTTTTATTTCTTTTGGTTTTTCAGTTAAATTTTCCTGAACTATTTTTACAGAATATTAGTAACCAGAGTTGCCAAGAGGAGGCGGGGGGGGGTGGGGGTGAAAGGGACAGTTAGATATCCAAGGGGCACCAAACGAGAAAAAGGTATCTTAAAAAAAGTCCCTCATCTATAACTTAGGGAGGTTTTAATAAATAGGGGTGCCGATCAGGGTTGCTATCCCATGCGGTGTGACGGCTCTCGCCGCCCTGTTAGTAATCTTCTTTCAAAAATTTAAATATATTTATTTTTTGTTTTTATAATTAATATTTGTTTTATTTTAGACTTCAACCATACACTAATCCTAATTCTTCATTGAAATCTAAAAAAACAGCAAAATCACGAAAATCTGTCAGAGTAAACGAAATAAAAAAGTATATCAGACAATGCAATAGAATAAGCAATTAAAAAAAACTGCCAAAAAAAAACGGTTATTTTCATAGCCACATATATTTAAAAACATTATTCTATCTGAACATTATGTGTTTGTTACAGAGTAACTGAAGCATGTTGAGTTTTTTATGTAAATAATTTTTTTATTATAATGCACATCTACATGATACTCTTCTAAATGTGAAGATACCTAATGATAATGTTTTAATTGCATGCTCTCCTTTACATAAAGAAGATTCATTGACCCGATTAAGAAGACATTTTTAAATGGCTTTTTTAGGCAAGCTAAAAAAAATTTATAGCTACAGATTAGTTAATAATTGGACATATAGAACTAAAAAAACAAAAGTTTATGTTAAATTTCTTTTAATCAACAAAACCTTTAAATTTTTTCTATTGAATATCTCTTTATATTTACCAACATTATTTCATTTTAGTGTGGATACTGTTGAGAAACAGTCTGTCGGATACTGTTGCAAAATGGTTTTAATTTAGTAATTTTCAAGATTTGAAATTTACTCTATTGATCATTAACTAACAGTTTAGGAAAGAAAAAAAAAATTTTTAAGGTAAGAATAATTTTGTTTATTGTTAATATAAGAAAATATTTTCCATATTAAAATATGCAAATGTAAGATGACAATATTTAGCTTAAAATAAATCCTGGTGATATAACTCAAACCTAAGTTATTCCCTTTTCATTCTATATCAATGAGATCACAACAGCCACAAGGTTGCCCATAAGTTTTACACCTAATTTGTATTTTTACAAACTTATATAGATCTAGATATATAGCCACATCTTTTCTTTGATTATATCTGATCTGAATTTATCTCCCAGCTAAATTCAGAGCAGATATAGTGATATAGACTTCTTGATTCTTTAAATCTTGATTCTTTAAATTGCTTTATGTTAACATTTCTTCTTTGCACAATAAGCAAACATTTTTTCTGCTGCCATCATTTTTTGTTTATATTTGCATTTTTATGATTTTGTTTGATTTGGCAAATGAACATTTATTTTTAGTTCATCACAAAGAAGACTGTAACAAGTAAGTAGCAAAAAATGTCCTCAAAATGTCCTGAATTTAAATTTTTTAATTGAAAAGAATTTTTTTAATTGCAAAAATGCAAAATAGCTTTAAAATAAAGCTGTCATGCTGGTTTACAAGAATGGGTTAAATTATCTTGGTACTATAAATTATCTTTTTGGTTAATTCTTTTAAAATTTATTAGCTTTACTCTTTAAAAAAAAAAAATTATAAAAACATCTGTGAAATAAGCTAAAACTTATTATTTTTAAAACTTGAGCAAATACCTGTTGCCTTAGTTTGTAGATATTTGACATGATTACTCACTTAATGTGAGTTGTAAAGGGTATAAAAAAAAATTAGTTTTTGTATTCTTGTCTTGATAAGAAGTCAACACTCTCTGATTACTTAGAAGGGGCATTTAAGCTGGAGAGGATCTCACTTCTGCTAGATGTGGCTCTCAGGGGCTGTTGAACCTTAACTCTGATAAAAGTTATTTTTATCAGAGTTAAGGTTCAATTACAAGCTAATCATTATCACAATCATCTAGATCTTCCTATATTCATAAACGGTAATGTACTTGGTGAGTCATCTACCCTTTATCTTCTTGGATTAGCTATTATTTTTAATCTTTCTGGAAACCCTATATCATAATGATTGCAAAATCCATCTTTGTATGGAAAACTGTTGCCATATCTCAGGCAATGATGTCCTTTTTTTCTTTTAGACATGGTGTAAAAACGCATTGTAAACATAGTTGAACCTGCTCTTGCAGCCAAACTCCAGCCATTATTACATTGTCATAATGTTATCTCTTTCTCTTTTCTATAAATACTATAATGGACACTGTTCTAAAGAGCTAGCGTCTCTTTTTTATCTACTTCATTCTTGTGTTACTGGTCATTTAATCAAATCTCATCCTTTAACTGTGACTTCATCAAATCATCATTCAATTTGCTCTCTTCATCTTGTTTTCCTGACTCATAAAATTTGCAATCTTTTAAGTTGTGTGTTAAAATCAAATAAACTAATAGACTAAAATCAAAACCTTAGATTACGTATGGAATACTTAAATCTATTTCAGTTAAAAACAAACTTTATACAAAGTTTATAAAACCAAAAAATATTTATAAGAAAAATGAATTATTTGCAAAATTTAAATTTTATAGAAACAAAATTTTTATTTTATTAAAATTTAGCAAAAAAACATACTTTATTACTTATTTTAATAATAATCTGAACAATATTAAAAACACCTGGAAGGGAATAAAAGAAATCATTAATATGAGACCTTCTACACACAATACATTTTAAAACTTAAATTAAACGAAAATATATTTAATAATTACTTTAGCACTATACACAACAAACTACTAAGCTAGATGCATATTTAGTGACTTTCTTAACATTCCAAATGCTAATTTATTATTTATTAACCCAGTAACTGAAAATGAAATATCTGGTCTCATTGCAAACACGCTTAAAACAGAAAAAAGTCTTGGTCCTAATAGCGCACCTACATTTCTTCTTAAACTAGTCTCAAACATTATTTCAAAGCCTCTCGGTACTGTTATAAATAACTCATTTAAAAGTGGTCTTTTCCCAGATATTTTTAAAGTTGCCAAAATTGTTGATTTACATAAAGCGTTTGACAAGCGTTAGATTATTCAATTTTGTTGAAAAAATTAGAATATTATGGGATCAGAAGCATACCACTTATATGGTTCGCTACAAATTTAAACAATAGAACACAATATGTTTCTATTAATGACTCAAAATCTACCCTTGTAAAATGTTCTAATGGTGTTCCTCAGGGTTCAGTATTAGGACCACTGCTTTTTCTTTATAACAATGATTTTCATACATCCATTAAGTTTGCTACTGTTTACCACTTTGCTGATGATACTAATCTAATACTAATTAATAAATCCCTTAAAAAAATTAACAAACACATTAACCACGATCTTGCCAATCTAGTACAGTGGCTTCACTCCAACAAACTTTTTCTAAACTCTAATAAAACTGAACTCATTATCTTTAAATGAAATAAAACAAAAATCTATAAACATGAACTTTACATTAAGTGGCAAAAAAAATTGAACCTGTTAACTCAATTAAATATCTTGGTATAAAAATCAATTCAAATCTTTTCTTTTATCCCACTGTAAAGACTTAGCAATGAAACTAAGTAGATCTAATAGTATGTTGGCCAAAATTTGCCATTATGTTAATTTTGAGACACTCTTGAACATATACCATGCTATTTTTGGCTCACATCTTAGATATGCATGCCAAGTATGGCGACAGTCCCATCAACAAGTTCTTATTAGGGTTATCCCACCTCCAAAACAAGGCTTTAAAAATTATTCATTTTCAGAATATTAAATTTAATCCTAACTTCTAAAGTATTAAAACTATGTGACTATATTCAACTGTCAATTTGTCTGGAACCACCAACACAATAACCTACCTTTCATTAATTTTTTTCCAAAAGTGCCAACAATCGTTATCACCTTCGTTCCGAGAGTAATTTAAACCTGTCTGTCTCTAAACACCGCTCTCATAATTACGGGCATAAATCCATAAAATATCAAAGCACTAAAACTTGGAACAACCTTCCTTATGAACTAAAAGCTCTCAATTCATTTTCAACCTTTAAAACCAGTTTATTCTACTTTTTATTTAAAAAATATGTTTATAATTTCTATAATCAATTTTTGTTGTCCTAATATATATATATATATATATATATATATATATATATATATATATATATATATATATATATATATATATATATATATATATAAATATATATATATATATATATATTTATATATATATATATATATATATATATATATATATATATATATATATATATATATATATATATATATATATTACAATTTCTATTCTATATTTTTTATTGATTATTGTTATTTTGTTATTTTTACTAATATTTACTATTGATAACTACTTTTCATTTTTATTAATACTAATACTGATATTGTTGTTATTATTGTTATTATTATTGTTATATTATTGTTTTTGTTATTATTGTTATAACATCGTTATTTATATTACATCATTATTTTATGTTATAAAGTTTATTATCGTTACTATATATTGTGAAAATTAGCATTATATTTATTTTAATTAGATATTATTAACATTAGTAGGTGTTTACTTTATATTAGTATATTTACTATTTGTAAACATCCTTGAATGTAAAACATTAATTCAAAAATAAATGATCGATTCATTGTTAATAATTGTCTTGCTCTATAAACTTCACTTTTTCATTTCCAGTAACTTCCAACTCTAATAGTGGTTGCTTTCAACCTTGTTGGAAGTGAGGATGTTAAAAAAAAAAACAGTTACATAGTGATATAAAAAATTAAATTATTTTTAATTTGATATTTAGAGATGCTAAAGGGGTACATACTCTAATAAAGCAATTTTCCAATTTTTTTTTAAATTTTGTTCTGATTCACTTTCAACAAGGCTGCAAGCAACTACTATTAAGTTTGGAGTTACTAGAGAAAAAAAGAATATAGTTATAGAACAAGGAAATGGTTGGCAGAAGGCTTGATAAGTTGTAGGTTGTATGAGACAAGAAAACATGAAGATGGGAGAGAGTTTTGAAGGGTTAAAATGTAGGGAAAAAATGAGACTAATAAAAGTTTTTAACATGCAGGGACAGATATAGTAAACGAATAAGACTTTGCAGAATGAAGAGTCAATCAATAAATAAGATCTAAATAGGAATAGGCCCCTTAATTATTTGAAAAAAAAATTACTTAAAAAAAATGCATGTTTTAAATGTGTATCATGTTTTTAATATTTTATCCTTAATGTTTAAATGTAAAGAAAATTTGTCACCTAGTTTATTTAAATCTTAAAAGTTTCAAACCTAAAAATATATTTTTTGCATCAAATACAACCTCGATGCCTTTTTTTCTGTAAAATGATAAACAAGTTATTTTTCAATTAGCAAGGTTCTTATC